TTTTACTAATTTGGTGTCTTTTTTTTCCTTTTTTCCCTCATATGACAAACAAAACATACGAAATCCTTTTAATATATAATTAATAAATATCCAGTGACATCTTACCCCCAAGAGACTCCCACTCCACTGAAGTTACTGCAGATTCTCATTCACTTTCTTCTATTTAATTTTGAAATCTCTCCAAGATTTACATTTGTTAAAAGCATGGCCTAACTGCAACTAATCATGGAAAGGTTCCTGGCAATCCCCAGGCTATGGAGGACCACAGAAACAGAAGTGCCACATTACAGGAAAGTTGCTGTCTGGATCTACTCTAGCCCTCCTCATGCCCTTCAGGTCACCTCACTCTCCCTTGACTAGAAAGGTCACTTCAGTAGCTGAAGCACGTACTAATCAGGCACTAATCTTCAGTGGGCATGCAAGAGGAAAAGAGTTGGGAAAAGACCAAACTACTGCTTACCACATGAAGGCCAGGTATGTGTCAGCTTTTCATGTATTTAAGCAAGTTAGAGTCACAAGGAAGGAGTCAGAAGAGTTAATCACCCCAGCTGACAGTGAACACTGACTTTTCAGTTGAGGCAAGGGTCTAAGGAGGCAAAAAATCCTTGAGGGTTATTATGACTAAACCAGGCTAGTGTTTGCGTGACTTTAGAGACACGGAAGTTCTGAAGGAAACAGTCAACTGGCCCCAAAATGTTGCTCCAAAAGCTTCAGAGCAATTGTACTGCTCTATTGCCAGTTCAGTATTTACTGCTTGCACTTCAGGGACTTATCATAGCTGTTTCATATTAACTTGAAACATAAATGATGATAATAATCTGAACCTTTCCAAGGAGGAAGTTGCACCTTCTTTTTTTATGATGCTGTTAACATCTTACAAGTTCTCACACTTTTCTGACAGGAAATTTCCACTCATCGAGTTCTCTGTTACATTGCAAAGAGATAAATACACCTCAACACGCTTTTTTTTTTCCATTTTGCCTTCCTGCAACTCAAAAACTTCATCTGCTCCTTCCAACAAAAACGTCCACATTTAATCAAAAAATAAGTGGAAGAAGGAAGTCACACACTGAGATGTCAGACTGTAGTTCATTTCACACAGGTCACACACGCTATCATCAGTCCTGTGTGGAAGGCTTCCCCAGACAGGTTTGTACCCACTCAGCCACATCTCTCCTTTCTGAAAGTATGGCCTTCAATACAACTGAAAATTCCTAATCTCCATAACTGGAAAACCTTCACATTGCTACAGAGAGTAGAAAGGACTTAAGACACAAATTTTGCAGAAGGTGGATTCTCTCACTTCTTCATGACTGAAATAATTCAGACAGAAAGGGAGACAAGCAAGCAGGCTTCTTCCCTTAGGCACAGGAATTACCAATCATTCTTCAAAGAAGTTGTCAGCAATCAGAACTCAGTATCACTTGGAAAAATCACTCTTCCACTAGAGCAATCATGACTGGCAAAGCAGCAAATTTGCTACAGTCTCAAGTAATAAATAATACCCATCATCTCCACCTCAATCACAGAAAGTTTAGCTCTTTCTTCTAACGCATGCTTAACATCTCCAAAGGGCTGCTGCCCTCCCAAGAGAACTGCTACACTCCCTAGACTGCCTCTTCTGGCTGCAAAGTCCCAGAGAGTGTCTTGTGACATGAGAAACCCAGTGGAAGCTTTTCATCCTCCCATGGGGTCCTCATGAAACAGCTTTTTCATTCACTGACTCGTATCTGAGCCTGGCCTTGCCAAAAAATCATAGGATGTTTGAGGCTGATAAGAGTAGTCACTGACCTGAGCAAAAATTTGATGGACAAAGATGATGCCCATGGTCAACAAAGCAAATAGCAAAGCATAACATTCCAGCTGCCAGCCAACTAGGTCCCGACATACCACTGGTCAACAGTCCCTGCACAAACCAAAATTCACTATCAAATATTTTCTACATGTTAAAATTGCTACTGTGGGTGTCAAGCTCATATAAGACACAAAAGCAGCTGCCATTTATAGGTGATTATAAGTTTTATGAAATGTCTTTATGCTGTACACTAATGGTTTCACGAACTATTTATCCACTGCTAAGAACTAACTTTTTATAATTATTCAACAGGCACTAGCTCTTTCTTTGTTTCTCTCTTATCGTTATTTGCTATAGTCAACCTCACACCCCAACATCACCACTGTTCACATTAACAGTTGCAATAATAGACTATGAATCATCTTCGTGGTCTACACAGTGCACGTAATGTCTTTTGGAGGGCTGAACAGTTAGTTTAACCATGAGAACACTCTAGGAGATTGCTAGACACATTTGAAGTTAGTCCTGATAGGTCTGTAAGTGTGAAAATATTTACGGCTAAGATGCTTCTTACTGCTGTGACAGGGAAGAAAGGTAGCAAATAGCAAACTGCCTGTAAAAGTGAAAGAAGAACGCACATTGTTTAGTCAGCATCAGAGTGGAACACATACCACAAGGGGCACGCGGCTTCCTCAGGGAAAAGCATGCCAAATTTCCCTCCCTCACCGCTAAATACTGTAACTGAACTATGTTACACACGTTAGCAAAGAGGATTTCCGGAAAGAATATGACTGGCTGGTAGCACTGATTGCTTTCATATAGTTTATGTCAGATTTTGGCCCTAAATCACATTAATCTAAAATCTTTTACTGGCTCAGTGAAAACACCTGCTCTCTGCCCCAGTGTTCACAATGGTAGCTATTTCGTCTCAAAACAAGACTAGCAACGTTGGACTTGCAACCTCAGCTTTATGCTCTCTATTGTACAGAAAATCTTTACACTTACAGAGTGGAACCTTTACTGCTCAAACCAGTGTACAAGATAACATGTTCTTCACTGCACTACTGAGAAAAAAAAATCCTTCACTGTACAATTTTTAAAAAACACCACACAATCACATCATGATACTTCTTAAGACCCATTAGGAATTTATAAAATTGTCCCCACTAACAGTGAGAAAAAACCTGATTTTGAAACTCATTATTTTAGTAGATTGAGATGATACACATGCAGTTAACAGGCCTAAAAAATCTAAAGCGTTCTCTCCTGTTTTACCTCTTCATCTGAGTGCTGTATTTTGCTTTTTAAACAGGTGAAAAATGAGTATAACCCAAGCTTAATTTGGTCTCTTAATTTTAATCAAAAAGTTATTGTAATATTTTTACTTGTTTGTTGCTTGGCTTGAGCAGCAAGGTGTATTGGTTGTAAATGGTTCTGAAATATGACAATTTTTCAACAAAATGACTGAAATAGTTATCTTTCTCTACTTACAGTCACTCAATGGCTTCTAAATGAGTTTACTTCACAAGTAAAACAGTGTGCTATTTTCTCCTAATTGTCAGAACCATAAGCTATGATTTGAAATTTCAGCAGTATTCTTCTGAAGTCACTCAGTATTTCTCCAAATTAAGTTGTAGGTTATACGCATATAAATCTTAAATACTGTTACTGATATAGAAAATCTGCTTATCTTTCCTAGACTACCTTGGAGCAGAACCTAGCCTTTATAGAACAACCATACACTGGTCAAACAAGCATCTGAACAGATGGTCCTGGAAGAAACTCTATTCCTGAGCTTTACCTCAGCTTCATTTTAGGGCAACCACCAGGTCTTCCCCAGCAGGAAAACCAGGTGCCTGGGGAGCAGTCAAGGGCCCAAGGGTCCCTTAGTCTAGGCAGTCAGGGAGTGGAGACTCCACAGTGCTCCACAGAGCACTTGCCAGGCAGCTGAGACACAGCTCCAGGCTCCGGAGTATTAATTTGACTCTTTCCATCCCTGACACTGTTCCTCAGCTTTTGCAGCAGGGCTGCACTATGTGCATCACAGCACAAGACTTGGAGAACTTTACTACAGCTTCGTACATTTCTGAGCTACCCATATCTTCTGCATGTTTTAGAATTAGGGATATAAAATAGCAGTCATTAAAAAAAAAAAAACCCTAAATTCCTCATTCAGAGAAGCCATGCTTTCATACATGCAAACATCGCCTGTTTAAGGGTTTGGTAAGCTGCCCTTTAATTAAAAAAAAATGTAGAAAGGGAAATGACATAGAAACTACATTTTAATTAGATCAAATTCCTATTCAACATCTTCATATTCAGAAAATCAAGTCTACTCTGCTATGTGATTGTTGCTACAAATAATTATTTTCTACCATTTTTCACAGAATGTGACACTCCTAGCCCTCCAAACTGTCAACCCATGCTAAATACACTTCTCTCACTGCTCTCCCTCCTGAATAAGACTGGGAAGATACGATGACAATACAACATACTGAGAGGGTTCTGATTTCTCTTCTTTCAGGCCCCAAGGTGAGTAGACCCGCTATAACTAGTAAGACACATCAGACTTATAACTCGCTTTAACTCTGCTATTGTGTTTCCCCGCCCAGCATGAGCCTAAGGCTCTTTTTGGCTTCTCTGACTTCAGGAACGAAAACTGCATAAAATATGGGTATTGTCAACACCTGCCCTTGTGACTTGGACCAGCCACAGCCAGGGTCAGATTCGCAGCACCTGACATCCTAGCTCTTGACTCCTACACCTAAGTTGTCTGCCCAGGCCCCCTTCGTAGTTATGGGAGAAAAACTGGTATGTTCAGGGTACTTCCATCTGTCCTATTTCAGACCTTTAGGATGAGAGGAAACCATGTCCTAAAAGTGCCAATTTCTCACCACTAACCGCAAGAGTTTCCTAGAAAACCAGCTCAAATGTGGACATGCATAATATAGATACTAACTTCACGGGTCTGACTGACACAGCCAGATGAAAACATTTTACTTATTCTTACGAAGGGTGACTTACTTTGGAGTCTAATGTAATTTAGTTGCGTTTAACATTGCACCCTAAATATGTACAGTTATAAAACATCCATTTGCAACCATAAATCAAGTGATTGTTCCAGACCAGAAGAATTACAGGCAATATGAAATGAAAATAATTATAGGTAATAGGAAATGAACTGCTTTTTATTTAAAACACTCACCTTATTTCCAGTACCAAAGAAGAATTGATTTTCCAACCTTCTACAGCATGCTGGAAGATTGAGGAGCCACCCTTTCGAATTATCTTATCAGAGCTATTGATCATTGATCTACTCAAACTCAGTTCACCATCTCTGCAATGCAATGTAGAAATGACACAATTACATAAAGGCTAACTCCAGTTTTAAGTAATTTACATCACAAGCACTGGTGATATTTCCTTTTGTTCACAATAAAAAGAAGCAATTATCTCCCCTTCAGACTTACTCTGCTTGCCAAAGCAAATAAACTGTATCTGTGAGAAATCTATGCGACACCTCTATCTAATACTAGCAAATTTAGAGCTTAAATAGGTTTGTGTTTGTAATTAACTAGACATAACAAAAAATACAATAAATTCCAAATTGTAAACCTGGAACAAAATTCAATATGTTTGTGAGGCAGATTCTACACTCCTATGTTCTGTATTTCCAATACCAAACTTAAGTGTTGATTTTCAAGCCTTCCCGCAGCAATTGCTCACATTATACATTAATGGCCTAATAGAATCCCTTTGACTCCTCTTGATACTAAAACATTTTCACGCATGGACTTCTGAAGTTTAACAGCATACAAAACACAAAATTTTCCAAGACTTCCTGAAACTTTTGAATGCAGACATTCAAACAACCCCAGTTCTCTTATCCTCTTCATCAATCTTACCATATTCATAAATTTTGGCAAGGTAACCTTAAAAAAAAAAAAATATAGTAAACTGTGGGTAATGAGCACTGAACATCTAATGAGGTAATCATAATGTTACCAGTTGCAATGATATTAGCCAACAGGGTCATACAAATTTGACAGAGAAGCTAAATTACTGCAAGCACAACTTACGGTGCTAGGTCTAAAATCTGTTTTTATCTCCATGTTTCCATTATCTTTCATACTGTTTCCATTTAGGTGCCAGAACAACATTCAGCTGAGTTCAAACACAGCTGTTAATCATAAATGCATCAAAGTTGTTGGCTCTAAGATTCTACCATGTACAGTGTCTTGTATCTCAGGATTATATTTAACAGTAATATACAGAAATGTCTTCATGCTCTGATATGCTGCCAATAACAATAACTTCACTTAGCTTGCAAACAGAACTTTTGACCACCAACCATTCAACCAACATAATGGAAAAGATGTGAGACCGTAAGCTTTCTAGGGAATTGCTGACTCTTGTTTTCCTGTGGCTGTAAGTTCTTAAAACAATTCAATCCTGGCCCTTAGTAAGAGCTACAGCAACATTACTGCAGTATACATACCAAGTATTAATATTTGGTAAATTGTATAGCAGACTAAACTCAAACGAACCTGCAATGGGACATCAATTAAGCTAAAGTGGCAAATCCAGTAATATGTAGTCATTTTCAAAAAGTGCTATGACTGCAAAAGCCCCTGTAACTAATAAACCAGTATTATACACTTCATCAAAACCATTGATTACTATCAATGCCCTCCTTCCTTCATCCCCTCTATGCCAACACGCTGCAGCAGCACGGACATTGCAGTGACTCATAGGTAAGAGTGCCACCTACCGAAAAACCTACACAAGATCCTAAGTTATCCAAATCACGCTAACTTGAGGGCATAGGAGGATGCTGCAGAAGTCCTAAAATTAAATAACCAGAATGTAATTAATACTTGCTATTTTAAAATGTTTTATACCCTAAAAATTTTCCAAAATGGTTGCAAATACATTTATTACATGTATTTTCCTGCATATATTTTCTAGATGCGTAAAGTGTATGCATTTAAAGGAAAATTACAAAATACATCCAGTCTAAAAGTACTTCAGAGATGCCTCCAGTTTATGCTGGGTTAAAGGCCATCTAGTAAACACTTTTAACAGTGACACAGGTGACAAAACTCAGCAACAAAATATGTTGCCAACACCTAAAGCATTTGAAATGTGATCATCTTCCATACTCACAATTTACATCTGCAGGGAGCTATATAGACTGTACAGTAAAAAAATGTTAAATTACATTCTCATGAGCTAAAAGAAGGTCTTAGGCACTTTGTGTTAAAGTTCTACTATGAACACAAAGCTGTTCACTTACATGCTCCTCTCCCTTTTATTGGTATTGTTTTATTTAGTTTTCACTTAAAGTAATATTAAAAAACCACATAAAAAGCTAAAACTTACCCAGCAAAATCTTCATTGTGTAAACAACTGTGAAATAAATTTGGGCTACTTTGTTTCTTCTAGAACCACTGCAAATCCTCTCTGATATACATGAAACAGCTGCCACAGTGTGACAGCAACTTATGGCTGACAGTGTCGACTCTAAATTACCTTGCCTTGGTGACCAATCAGACCAATATAGTCAGACTATCTCTTCTCCTGAAGTCAGTTCATTAAATACAAATAACTGACTGTCTTCAAACATATTCCCTATCAGTAGAAGATGACACTGTTTAAGAAACACTGCATTCCACGTAATACAGGTGTTTCATTACTTGCTTAACCTTTAAAGGAACATTACCATCTAGTTAAAGAAGGGCATGCCTTTGCAATTATTATCCTAGCAAACTTTGTGGTGAGAACACAGCTGATTTAAGGTTTTATCACATACTTTGGAACTGGACATAGTCCATTTTGGCACATCTGGGATTTACCTGCAGTGCCACTAATAACCATAAAATGGGCCACCTTGCACATTCGGAGTTCTGCATTACTGTGCAGAACTGGAAGTAAAACATCCCACGGATGGAAGTAAAACATCCCAAGGAAAACCGACTTTGCTATCCCATGTGGCCAGTCAACAATAACCAAACGGCATAAGCCCTTCCTTTAGGAGAAAGGCAAGTGTAGCATTAATAGTGATAGCAGATACTAGCCACAGTACACTTAAGGGTTTTTTTTCCTGCTTTGTACAGTAATGGATGGAACGACAGGCTGGGAAAAGAAACTATATCCCAATACCCTTAGTCAAACTGAGTAGCCCCATACTGCACAGGAAGTCTCACCGATACCAAAGAAGTAAGATATCACTAAATGACTTGGCAGAAGTACATTACAGCTGTATTTTAAACTGTTGTTAAGAACATACATATTTATGACTAAATACACTTATTTTGTCTCATTTAATATTAAATCATCAGTCCATTTTAGTACCTTTTATATCATGTCAAACAGTATACCATAAGCAGGAGGGGGCCTTTCTTGCAAATATATATGGATTCTACCTAGTGACTAATTTCTGAATCATTTTAGCAGCTACCTCTAGTCTGACAGGAAAGAGTACATATTAAGAAACCTGGGTATGTTCAGTGCTGATTCTCCACCACACATTCGTTTTCACATGTATTTTTCCACACCCACAACCCAAAAATTTTAAACTTTTGTACATCTTGTAAGTATGCAGATGCCACAGCACCGTGGTAGAAACTGGGCTTACGCCCAGGCTGAACAAAAGGGAAAGTTACCATCAAGTTGTGAATACCTTTAATACCAAGAGACAGAAACACCGCCTCATCCACCATACACACACACAGGGGAGGTCAAACTCTTGGCAGGTGCCAGGGCCACTGCCGCCCAGCTGTGCACAGCTGCCGAGCCCAGCTCCCGTACAGGCCTGCCTGGGCAAGGGCCAGGGACGAAGGATGCACTTTCTGCCCTTAACTCTTGGGGACCGTGGGGGCAAAGGAGGGACTAAGCAGGCTGTAGTTACCCCAGCTCCTTCCAGGCCTGTAGAGGCACTTGTAACCTTATGCCTCCTCCTCAAATTAAGGCAAGGGTTTATACCAAAGGACAAAAATCCGCTGTGAATGTATCTCCCCCCCAATCGATTTTCACAGGAAAACAAAGCGTGAGCCCCTTCCCCACTCTGGCTGCCACCACAGCATTTATGCATCCCTCCTGTGAAAACAAAAAATTATTCCCCTCCAAGGAAAAACAGGCTTGGCTGAAAGCCCAAGATCTTCACAGGATAGCTGCAAGTTGGGAGAAAAATGAGGTATACAGGCATGTATGTACACAAACACAATGCATGACACAGAAAGCTGAGGTGCAAACAGAAAAATGGCAAGGGACTTCCCACCTTTTATTTTCAACCGAAGACAGGCAAGAGGGGGGAAATAGGTAACAGAGGGTCTCAGAGTTTCTAGCGGAGGAGCCTCGGGAGCTAAGGGAGATGGATGTCCCTCACACTCTCAGAGCAAGCATCACCAAGGAGCAGCGAAGTTAAGCACACAGCTCCCAGGCAAACTTCAAGGACTTCAGGGGCCACCCGGAGCTGGCCAGCGGCCGCGCTCGCCGGCA